AGCAAGTATAAAGGTCTGTGTAGGTTTGTTATGATATATAAAGAATCAGACAAAAATAATATACACATAATCTTAAAATTTCTATGGTCATAGTTTAGTCAACTAGTTTAAGGAACAAAATATATATCTAGTCAAAGTTTATCTGAGAACATTTGGTTTTTTACCCAAGCTTTACCCATATAGCACACAGTAGTTAAAAGCACCAAACTGGTAGAACTAACCTTATTGAATGTTTAACAGCCATACTTTGAGTCCTATACTAATGTGGTCAGAGGGACTTAAAGGACAGTTTTTGCCTCTTGACCTCCAAGGTCGATTAAGTTCCAGGGGACTATGCAGGAAATGTCCTGTAACTGTAGTGAGTCATCTGTCCTCTTGTTCATGGAGGCCATGGAGACCCCACCATGTGGAGAGCCACAGCCTCCGCCGCCATTACAAGATGGCGCCGGTATCCGGAACTTCTTAACAGTAAACATCCTGCTGCGCCCATAAGGGGCGTGCACAAGAGCCTGCTCTCCCTTGCCTCCTCCCGTGGCGTGATCTCCAGCAACCAATCCGCTTCTTATACGTCATAGATGGGACCTTTAGACTATATAAGCAACCGCTCTCCCGCTTCTCGGCGTCTTCGGTCTTTAAGCTTCTAAGAGTGTAAGATGCGCATGCAATAAACTGCTGCAGAAGGATCCTGACTTGTCCTCCCGCGTCGTTCTTGCCGGCGAGACGGAAAGCGGTCGGGGACAGCCTAAAGTAACAGGGTCAGGTTTCTCCCAGGAGGGTCAACTCAGAGGAAACATCTCCTCCATGTTTCCAAGTGAAGCCAGCCATGGTTGAGCAGGACCTTTGACTTAGCTTCACATAGATGGAACTGGTAAAAGAAAGGAGCCAGGGACTCCTCCCAAGTCCATGTGACCCCTAAGGAACAGATCCTCAAACGACCTTAAGTATAAAAATAAGTTGATTTATTTGGGACAACCATATGGCCTTAAAAACCCAAAAGGAACATATAACCAAAGAGTAAAGTCATCAGTATATTCCTTTAAGAGTTCAAGGGATTACACTTCCCAGACATTAGGCTTAAGTCTACATAGAAAGTTATTTAGACAATTTTTTCTCATTGATGATTTTGTTCCTAATCAGAAAGTGCTGCCCAGATGTAAGACTGCAAATCTTGGTCTGCAATACTGTAGGGCTCACCTGTAGCTAAGGAAGATAACCCACTATTCTAAAATGGTGGCTAAATTTGTTTTCTCCCCCCTATCTAGAAGATTTTGAGAGGGAACTGACACTGATTCTAACCACTCGAACAATTATACACATAATCTTAAAATTTCTAAGGTCATAGTTTAGTCTGCCTGAAAGCAAATCCTGAATCCATCACTCTGGAGTCCAGCTTTGGAAGACGAAAGAAAAATGAGGAGGAACCCAATAGAGAGATGCTTTTGTAAGTCCCTGTCAAGAAATTCCAATGGACTCTCATATGAACATTTGAAATTTGCCCTGTTCTGCCTTTTTTCTAGTTACTTGTCTAGAACTTGTAATGCTAATTACTCTTGCCCTTACTTCTCCTTCACATTTCTTATTCACCAGTCAAGGACTTTCTTTTCCCCCTACAGATAGTTATGCAATTTGGGAGTCTTTTAGATAGACATACTGAAGGGGTACTCCAATTGCCTCATCCTGCATCCATGTTCATCATGGAAGAAGCTAGAGCAGTCTGTGTCCCAATTCCCTATCCACAATTTGAGTAACCTCTTCAGAGGATGGTGTGATAAGAATAGGAGGTACGAACTGGCTAGACAGTTAGGGTAAAAGGACCCCAAAGAAAAGTAGCCAGTTTCTTGGCTAAAAGTCAAAATGTCCTTGGGCTTCTTAGCAACGTACCAAAAGCCAAAAATGTGAAAAGTATTTGGGAGCTTTTATCTAATCTTTAAAAGATTTTAGGGTTACCTTTTCAGAAGGGGGACTGTTAGAGTAGCAAAAAGCCCATTAAAAAAAGAAAGCGTACATGAAGTTATCAGAAAAAGGGGAGATATGGGAGTAGTTGGAGGGGAGGGAGTAGGCATGGATTTGATCAAAACACCTTATATGTATGTATGAAATTCTCAAATTATTTTTTAAAAAACCAATATAGTTGAAACCCTATGATGCTGGAGCTGTTGGTGATAGGGAAAGATGTGAGGGGACCCAGTGTGCATGAGAACATCACAGCACAACAGCACAGGCTTTCGATGTTTCAACGCAAGGCCACACCACCAGCCACAGGGACTATACCCTTTTTTTTTTTTTTTTTTTTTTTTTTTTTTTAGAAAGG